ACATATATTAGAAATAAAAGTATAAAAAGAAAATTAATGAATTTGTAATATTCATTCAAGCATACATAAAAAAAGCAATTGTAATATGTATGCATTTTTTGTGGATATGTGATATTAATGTGGAATATTGATTCATGTTATTAATAAGTGATATCCAGATCGACTATTATTTCTCTCTCCATAAAAATGAAAAATATTTAATGCAAATATCAAATAAAAGTAAATATTTGTCAGTGATTTGAGATAATTTAATAATCTGAAATTCAAATTGATTCAAGTATCATTACTATTTTGAATTTTCTTGTACATGTGAAAATAATTAAAAAAGCAATTGTGCATATAAAAACACATTTAACCTTTTTAATTCGAAATCTTATAGAAGTGTGATTTTGATTTGCTTCTATGGATTTCGATAAATACCGCAGGTTGAATGAAATATAACGATTCAATTATGATTTTAAATGAAATATTGTATAATCATAACTCCAAATATTGTGGAATAGCTGTAATTTGTCTGAAGTAAGTTTTCGTTAAATAATTACGTAAATTTCAATTTGCATAATTAAATTTTTTTTTTAAATAACATAAATATTGCATTATATGATATTTATATTGTACATTATCTTATATTAAAATTCATTTGAAATAATCAATTGTATATAAAAAAAAGTTTTTTCTGAGGAAGAGTTGGAGATAAATGTCCAGATATCGTGAATTTGTTCAATTGCCATTAATAAATGCCGCAATTTGTAATGAAATGACAACGCTCGTTTCACAATCTATTGCATTATATTTTGTTATGAAAGTCATGAAGGATCCTAGTGTTCTTAAATGTCATGTAAGTTTTCATAAAATCATAAAATTAAATATTAAATTATATATTATTGAATTAAGACACAGTTAATAATGTGAATGATTTTTATGTGATAAATATTTGAATATTTTTTTTTTTTTTACAAAGAAATAATTCATTCAATCTGTCTGTAGCTGCACATTAACGTATAAATATTTTATGACTTAAAATTTTTCTTTATCTATAATCATTGACTGAAATGAAATGAAATTATCTTAAGAGATGAAAATAATATTGAAATATTGAGAAATTGATTCCACTATTTGTGGAAATGATATTCCATAATAAAAAAATGATATCCTGTTATTATACTCCCAATATATTTTATATAAAATATAAAATATGGTTGATTTGGATAACACAAATTTAATTGAATTTTTGTGTAAAATGAATGAAAAGTTGTGGGACTAACCACATATATAAATTTCTTATTCACAAGTTACTAAAAAATAATAAAAAAATAAATAAACTTTTAGATAAAGTGGATTAAATTTAAATTAAAAGAAGTATTTCGTTTTCACGTAGTAGTATTTAAATTAATTTTAAAGAATTAAAATAATTGATGGTATTTTACGTATATGTATATACATATATACATATATATTGTATTCTTTTATAAAAGTTCACCTTAATTGAAAAAAATAACGAAAGAAAAAAAAAGAAAATTTGATGTAATAAATAATTGATATTTTTATGAAAAACAATCGTATATCTAATAATAATATCCGGTATTTTCTATTCGATAAATTGAAAATTAACGATACTATTTTGTTAATTAATTTATTATTAACTGAATATAACAAATTATGTTAAAATAATATTATTAACAGCTGCTAAATTATTAATTTATAACAATGTGATATATTGTAAATATATACGATACTTTAATTTTCGGATGCTATTATATGGGCTAAAATATTTATTATTTACGTTATTTAGTTTAAATTTTTTTGTCGTCACGTCTACGTATTTCCTAATACATACATTTTCGTGAATTTATCTTTTGTGAAACAGTAATATATTCATATATATTATTATAATATATTATAATATAATAATATAATATATAATAATATAATATAATAATATATAATAATATAATATAATAATATAATAATATATTTAAGAATATTATATACAATATATAATATACAATTTATAAAATATAGAGAAATTTAATACATAATTGGAAAACATTGCTATGAATAAATAATACGTAACCTATATACGAAAAAGTTATAACTATCCTATGAAAGTTTAAAATTTGACATTAAAAAAAAAAACAAAAATGAAATATGAATCGTTTTAGATAAAGAATAAATAGTAATATTTTAATAGGTGTTTAATGAAGTGTTTGAGTTTTCTTATGTTTATATTATTTCTTTAATTTGAAAGTGTAAATGTGTAAATAATTTAATTATTTTTCTCTTCAATATTTTTATAAATTTATATTATAAAATTAACAATCACTTATATAATAATAATAATAATTTTAAAACATAAATAAATATAAATCACGTATAATTTGTATTCATATTAATTTTGATAGTTTATTTTGAACATTCTCACATTCTTTTTAAAATTTTGTTCAAGTTTTTTCTGCGGAAAAGTTGGAGAGTTGGATGTCCAGATTATCGTGGATTTGTTCAATTGCCATTAATAAATGCAGCAATTTGTAATGAAATGACAATATTTGTTTCACAATCCACTGCATTGTGTTTTGCTGCGAAAGTCATGAAAGAAGTTTAGACCCTAATGTTCTTGAAAGTGTCACGTAAATTTTTATAAAATCATAAAATTAAAAATTAAACTATATATTATTGAAATAAGACATTAACGCAAGTAACTTTTATGTAATAATTATTTGAATTTTTTTTTATAAAAATTCATCCAAATAATGTGCCTGCACATCAACATATACAAGCAGTCATAAGATGTTATGCGGAAACACAGTTATTAACTTTAGAGCTATTCTATTCTATAATCTTTAAACGTAAATAATGAAACGAAGCAGGAAATTTGGTTACTAACTAGAAATTTTGAGTTCTTTAGTACAACGTGTATCTAAAAATATATATATATATAAATGGCAGTAAAATGTAAAGCTTGATCTAAATATCCATGAGGTAAAAAATATTCATTTCTCTCTCTTTGTTGGAAAATTAAAACAGGCATCAGAATCGAATCATCGTTTTTTTGTTCTTCTTCTATATTTAAAGTAAAAAAAGTAAAAAATAAAAACAAAATTTATTTAAAAATATCATTCACAACGTGAAAAATTAATTTAAGAAAATATAGGAAAAACAGCAGGACAACGCAAATCAGATATAGCATAACGTTTCTCAAAATAAACGTTGCGTACATTTTTATCCTTTTCATGTATTTGTGCATTGTGCAATGATACAAAATTGTGAGAAAAATTTAGAATCGTTATATTCATTTAGATGAAAATGATTTAAGAATATCAAAAGAACATTGACATTAATAATATTATGTAATGATGAAAAAAATAATATAGTAGGCATCGGTAAAGTGATTTCTATTAATTTTTTAAAAACATTTTTCATTTTACATTAAAATTTTAGATCCCGATAGTTTGACTACGATAAAATTGATACAGATACATATATTTGAAGCTGATGATTTTAACAATTGAAAATTCAGACGGAAATAGATTAGATTTGAAATCAAGAATATTTCACATAATATCGTTGAAAATATAGAAGTAGAATGTGATCTCAAGTTATAAGAAGATCTATCTAATATATTTAATACTTTTCAATAATAGACTATACAGATTATTGGCACTGTGATATTATAGAAGTTTGAAAATAATACGATAAACAAAATGTGATTGAAGAAATAAAATTGATAGAAAAAAATTAAAGATATATTTATGAGAGATAATAAAAATAAATCTGATGATGAATGTTTTGATCTGTAAACAGTATTCCTGAATATATCTATAAATATTAATATTTAATTATAATATTTAATATAAAATAATATAAAATAATATTAAATATTAAATTAAATATAAATCATAAATTATATATTATCGAATTAAGACACAGTTAACATGAATAATTTTTATATAATAAATATTTGAATATTTTTTTTTATTTTTTTTTAAAAAAATTCACCCTATCTGTCTGTAGCTGCACATCAATGTATAAATATTTTATAATTTAAAATTTTTATTTCCTTTATCTGTAATCATTATGAAATGAAATGAAATTATCTTAAGAGACAAAAATAATATTGAAATATTGAGAAATTGATTTCACTACTTGTGGAAATGATATTCCATAATAAAAAAAAATAGTATTATTATTATACTCAAAATATATTTTATATAAAATATAAAATTATGGTTAATTTCGAACATATCTTCCATATCATTTTCTACTTCATCTTTCACTTTATCTTCCATTTCATCTTCATATTCTATTTCATCTTCTACTTCATCTTCGCCTCTTTTTTCTACTTCATCTTTCATTTATTTTCTACTTCATTTTCTACTTCTACTTCAATTTCTTCTTCTAATTCATCTTCTACTTCTACTTCATCTTCTTATTCTACTTCATGTTTTACTTCTACTTCTACGTTATCTTTTACATCAAGTTCTATGTCATCTTCTACTTCTACTTCATTTGCTCCTTTTACTTCATATTCTACTGTTACTTTATCTTCCACTTCTACTTCAACTTTTTCTTCTACATCATCTTCTACCTTACTTCATCTTTTACTTAATCTTCTACTTCATTTTCCAATTCATTTTTCACTTTATCTTCTAGTTCATCTTTTACTTCTACCTCATCTTTTACTTCTACTTTATCTTCTACTTTTACTTCTACTTCATTTTCCAATTCATCTTTCATTTCATCTTCCATTTAATCTTCTACTTCAACTTCTACATTATCTTCTTCTTGTACTTCAGCTTCATCTTTTACATCTAAATCACTTCTTCTACTTCATCTTCCGCTTCATGTTCTAATTCAACGTTATCATTTTCTTTTTCTTCATCTTCTTTTTTTGCATCTTCTTCTATTTTATCTTCTACCTCTAATTCATCTTCTACTTCATCATGAACATCATCATCATCATCATCACCTTTATTATCTTATACTTCAACCTCATATTTATCTTATACTTCATCATCATCACCATTATCATCTTGTACCTCATCATAATCATCATCATCATTTTGTAATTTATCATCAGCATTACCTTGTACTTCATCATCAGCCTCATTTTGTACTTCATCATTATCGTCATCATCTTGTACTTCATCCTCATATTCATCTTGTACTTCATTACATTCATTTCCACTTTGCACTTCATCATAATTGTCATCATTTTGTATTTTATTATCATCATCATTTTCATTTTGGATTTCATCACATTCGTTATCACCTTGTACTTCATCATCGCCATCATCATCTCGTAATTCATCCTTAATTACATCTTGTATTTCATTATCATCATCATTATCATCTTGTACTTCGTTATCATCATCATTATCATCTTGTACTTCGTCATCACCAATATAATCTTGTATTTCACTATCGTCATCATCATTATTTTGTACTTCATCATCATCATCCTGTACTTCCATATTCATCCATATTCATTTTGTTCTTCATCACATTCATTATCACCTTGCACTTCATCATCATCATTATCTTAAAAGCCATCTCATCATCATCATCATTATATTGCAATTCATGTTCATATATATTCATTTTGCACTTCATCCTCATATTCACCTTGTTCTTCATCATTTTCATCCTCATCTTGTACTTCTTCCTCATATTCAGTTTGTACTTTATCACATTCATTATCATCTTCCACTTCATCATCATCATCATTATTTTGTATCTTATTATTATCATTATCTTGTATTTCGTCTTCATATTCAGCTTGTACTTCATCATATTCACTATCACCTTGTACTTCATCATATTCATCATCGTCTTGTACTTCTTTCTCATATTGATCTTGTACTTCATCACATCCATTATCACCTTGCATTCATCATCATCATCATCTTGTACTTAATTTTTATATTCATCTTGTTCTTTATCTTCATATTCATCTTGTACTTCACCTTCGTATTTATCTAGTATTTCGTTATCATCATCATCATCTTGTACTTCATCATCATCATCATCATCACCTTGTAATTCATTGTCAGCATTATCTTGTACTTCATCATTAGCATCATTTTGTACTTCATCTTAATATTTATTTTGTACGTTATTTTCGTATTCATCTTCTACTTTACCATCGTTATCATTATCTTGTAATTCATCATCATTATCATCATCATCATCATCATCATTATCATCATTATCTTACACATTTTCATCATCATTTGTATTTCATCGTCATCATCATTCTTTACTTCATCCTTATCGCCATCTTTTATTTTATCCTCATATTCATCTTGTACTTCATTATCATCATCATCATCATCATCATCTTGTACTTCATCATCATCATTATCATCATCATCTTGTACTTCATCATCATCATTATCATCATCATCTTGCAATTCATCTTCATATTCATCTTCTAATTCATTATATTCATTATCATCTTGTACTTCATCATCTACTTCATCATCTTGTACTTCATCTTCATATTCATCTTACTCTTCATCTTCTTATTCATCTGGTACTACATCATTATTTTTTATCTTGTACTTCATTAGTAATCATCCTCATTTTCTACTTCTGATCTTGAACTTCATCCTCATCTCATCTTGTACTTCAT